TAATGTTTTTTAAAAAAACAGAACAAGAGTATGGGAAACTCATTATACATCATTAACACTGATCTGTAAAACGTAGTGCCTCAACAGGCCTAGCATGAATTTATCCTAGCAAATGTTTTGCAGTCCTGGGGCTGTGGAACTACAATTGATGCTTTTGCTGTTGACCAGGATTATAACTGTTCAATAAATCATGAAATCTCCTGTGAAGGAGCAAAACTGTTGAATTGCTGCTGAGGCAAACATCTGTCTATAGCAATAGCAATATCACTTAGACATATATCACTTTACAGTGCTTTACAGCCCTCTCTAAGCAGCTTATAGAATCAGCATATTTCCCCAACAATCTGGGTCCTCATTTTACTGACCTCAGAGGCATGGAAGGGTGAGTCTACCTTGATCCGGTGAGACTCGAATCGGTGGCAGCCGGCAGTCAGCAGAATTGGCCTGCAATACAACATTCTAACCACTGCGCAACTATGGCTCTATCACAGAGAGACAGATAGTTTGCAAAAGCATGAACTATGTTATAATCACATATATAATCTGTTATAATCTGTTCTAATTCAGAAAATGTAGAAATCTAAATTATCATATCCTATGCCATAGCCAAGGTTCCAAAAAAGTTGTCATAATTCAGAGGAAGATACAATCAAATGACCGAGAATTAGGTGTGCTCAGATGTTAATGATGTTTAACATCTGCAATTTCCTTATAGTAAGAATTCTGTATATTTGGTCTTAATTGGGATATCAGAGCCAGTTTGGTGAGATTCTTTTCATTACTCCGATTATATGGTACATATTGTTGTGGTACAATATAAGTGGATGGGGAAGATTGGAATTAATTTGTAAATCACCATTCCCAGAAATGATTGACATACAGCTTAGATAGCAACCAGAAATCTAAAAGCATCATATTTTTTTTCTGTTTCTAAATTTTACAGGAAAAATGTTTTCAGTACTGGCCATCAGAAGGTTCTGTTTCTTATGGCGAGATTACCATTGATATTAAGAATGACTTGCTTGTTGATACTATAAGCATAAGGGACTTTTTGATTACACACAACCAGGTATTCTTCACATTTTCCTATTTCTTAAACTTCTGGGGTTTTTTTTATTGTTGCATTAAATACATTTTTCTTCATATTTATCAGACTGGTCAGTAGTTATGAATATCTAATTTTAACAAATGTATTCTATCAGGAATAAGCAAAGGAACAAATATCACAACAGGGAAATTTTCACTGCCGCGAAATTGAATCAGACCCTTCTGTAATTGACTAACAGTGGAAGTTTACAAGTTGAGTTGGCTACATTTTGCAGACAAGAAAGAAGATATATACTGCAGAAGTCAGAAATAAAGTCATCTCTTCTATACGCACATGCACGCACAGCACACATACATAGCCTGACTCTATGTATGTATTATGCATACACATCTGTATGTATATAAGTACAGTATATACCATACATATACACACATACATACATATGTGTTTGCATGCATGGTGTGACAGCATCAAAGTTTAAATTTTAAACCTTTTCAAATCAACAGATTGTAATTATTGTTTCCTTGGCCTGAAGCATGTGAGATATTTATTTCACTTGATTCTATTTAATCCTTAAATTAATGAAGAACTTCCTTTCAACAATTTAATGTTCAGATTACTGGAGAATGTTAAAAATGGAAACTCTGGATGNATTTTTTTTTCCTTTCATGCTTGACAGTGGTGAGGTTGTGCCTCCCCTGCCTCCCCTGACTGCATGTCACTGGTTAGCAGTGACTAGTGGAATCAAAACTGCAGGGATTCTTTTACCTTTAAAAAGAAATAAAAATCACATACTTGGAATAGGGAAGCATTTGGAATAGTTTTTGTTCTTTCCCCTTTTTTAAAAGCTACGTATGCTATTAGAATTTATACTAAAGGTTTACATATTTCCTGTCTGAAAATAGTGGGATTCTATGCTTTTCATTTTCAATAGTTTTAGGTCAGAGGTGTCAAACTCAAGGTCCAGGGGCCAGTTCCAGCTCACGGGGTGCTTAGATCACCCTGGAAACAGCGAAGAACCACCCTGCAATGCCTCTGACAGCAAAAACGGAGCTTGGAAGGACTGTGTGCAACCCTCCTGAGCTCCATTATCGCTTGCAGAGGGTTGCAGGAGGCCATTGCAGCCTAAAATGGGGCTCACAAGGACCGCGCTTCGTTTTTACTGGCAGAAGGTTGCAGGAGGTCATTGTAACAAAAGACAGAGCTGGCAGAGCATTTGGGCTACCACAGGTGCCCCCAACATGAGTTACATTGAGCTGGCCATGCCCACCCCAGCCCCCCAAGGTCAAACATAACCCTGAGGCGGCCCTCAATGAAATCGAGTTTGACACCCCTGCTCTAAGTCAATAAGCAAAGGAATTTACTCCTGGGTAGACCATTCTGCATCAACATAATTCATTATTATAAATGGAATATTTTTCAATATCTATTCTAAAGAGATCGTTAACTCTTTCATTAACAGCTGAATAGGGCCAATATTAAGGTGTCTCGCTTTAAAAAACACATTTTCTTCTGTCTAAGATTTGTTTTTGATTAAACAAATGCACATTTGTTTTTCGTTCATATTTAGTCTATGTTTGAAAAATAGAAACAACAAACATATTCTTACCTGTGAAACCAGGAGGGATCCCCTTTGTAACATCCATCATCCCTTGTAACAGCTTCACTGCCTAAAGCCATTAGAGTCCTTTGCACGGCAGCCATGTCTTTTCCTAAAAAGAATTATTCATTTGTTATTGTTAAATTGTTTGGTTGTACTTTAGCAGCATTACGTAGACACCTGTTTAACCTCAAAATCCCCAGAGCTTTTATTATTACATTATGTTTTCTGTTTTTATTCTGGTCTCAAGTGAATTTTCCTTGACAGAACTCTTCCTACTTTTAGCTTGCAACCTGCTGGATGACTGTCAGTGTATCACTATAAAAAGTTTTAGAGATTTAGAAACCTGACCATATGTTTGAACTCTATGTTATTGCATTAGAGCATGCTAGCTGGGGAATTCTGGAAGTTGAATTCCACAAGTCTTAAAGTTCTCAAGTTTGGACACCCCTGTATTAGAGGCTACACTTTTCCGTAAACTATATCTTTCTAATCGGGTTTGGCAAATTTTTGTGGGGAAAAAAATTGAAAGTAGCTTTTGAGGGTGGGAGTTAGGATTTTCCCCCCTATTCTAACTACCAACGAATGAAGTAAAATACAAGATCCAGAAATAAATCAATGGTTTGCTGCAAGTTTCACCAGCATAAGCTGCATATAGGCTCCAAAATATGATATTATGAGGGAATACAGCCCATTCATGTTCAGGCTATTTTCTATCTATGTCTTTTATAACTCACTGGCCTTCCTCCAATATAGATATATCAGGCTTTTGCTGATTCTCGCTGGACTCTTCTTATGTCAAGCACTTTGTTTTTTCTTTCAGTCTCCAGCTAGTTCTTTTAAACCTCCTTCAATCCCCCCCCCCCAAATTTGAACATATATGAAGCAGGAGGGAGAGAGGTTGCACAGGATAGAAGTAAAAGAATGTTGGTTCTGCCTCACTCTATTATCTTTCTTGTCAGCTTCATGTATCTACCTGTGCAGGGCTTCTCATGCTAGCTAACTGGGGAGTTTTGGAAGTCCACACACCTGTATCATAAACACTGGTATAGAGAATCACTCTAAAGTAATTCCAAAGCAGTGGTGGGTTGCAGGCAGTACGCCCCGGTACAGGCATACCAGAGCCTGCCCGGAGCATTGGATACCGTACTAGTACAATGCTCCAGAGGGCCCGCCTGCCCGCCTGAGCTCCTTACTGGTCTTTTAAATCTTTGGCGCTTCTGCGCATGTGCATGGTGAGTACAGCACTTATGTGACGCTCCATTGAGCAGCTAGAGTGTTGCGGAGGCTCGCGGAAGCGGTAAGATGCATCTGCGTCCATGTGGATGATGGTGAGCCCGTTTCAACCGTACCAGTTGGAACGGAATCCAGAACCCACCATTGTCCCAAAGGTACTTTTTCAAGAGGCAACTGGGCTTTCTGATATTCTTTCATACTCCCACACCATTTGAAGCGTGTTCATCCCAAAGGGCATAGCTAAATGCATATGGAGATTCTCAGTAAATGAGAAAGTCCAGTTGCCCATTGAAAAAGCACCTTTGGGCCAACCATGACCTGGATGACTGAAAATCTCCATAGATACTTTAGAGCAGGGTGTCAAACTCACATTGTCATGTCGTAACATGACGTATCCATCACTTTTTTCCCTTTGCTAAACTGAGGGTGGGTGTGGCCAGTGCATAATGCATCCGGCCCCACAGACTGTGAGTTTGATATCCCTGCTCTACAGGGCAGCCCTGTAATTCCAGACATTTAAATTATGTGAAGCATCTCTACAGATGCAGGAAGGTTTACTTTATAGATAAATCATCCTTTGCACATAGAAGGCAGTATGATGGACTATAGCATTATTTTCATTTTCATTCTCAACACCACCACTCTTTGCATTGACAATTTACACTCAGAGATCTGCTGAAGGAAGCTTTAGATATGTAAAGCTAATATTAACTTCAGCAGCCAAATACTGAACACCAATGAGTTAAAACTCCCTCTACATTTACAAAGCCACACCATCTGTCAAACCCTAGGTGACAAGACAACATAAAAAATCACAGAAAAGAATCCACAGATGTTAAATTCTCATGGCCTACGCTAACAGTAACATCTTTTCAAAAGTTGCCCAGCACTGTTTTCAGAGCAGTCCAGTGGTGGGTTTCTGCTGGTTCGCACCGGACCGGGAGAACCGGATGGTGAAATTTACCGATCCAGTGAGAGGAGGTTCGACCGGTGGACCCAGAAATAACTTCCAGAACGCCTGCCCCGGCCTTGTCGCTCCTCGCTCACCCCTGCCCGTCCGGAAGCCGCTCCATCACTCGCTCCCCCCACCTGTCTGCACTATCCTAGCCCAATTTGATGTCAAGTCCCATACCTGGGAGTGGAGGTAGTAAATGGAGAAGCATGGAGAGGTCCAGCAGCACAATCCACCAGACAGCAGCTGCAAGCTCAGGAGTTTTCTCCTGGATTCCTCTCTGTCATGCCTCCTCTGAACTCTCAAAGTTCTTTCTCCAGAGTGTGATAGCTTTCTACTGGATTCCCCTCTGTTTTGCCTCCTCTGTTCTCCCAAAGTTCTTTCCCCAGTGTGTGATAGCTTTGTCCTTGATTCCCTCTGTCTTGCCTCCTCCAATCTCCCAAAGTTCTTTCCCCAGCATGTGACAGCTTTCTACTGGATTCCCCTCTGTCTTGCCTCCACCAGTCTCCCAAAGTTCTTTCCCCAACGTGTGATAGCTTTCTATTGGATTCCCCTCTGTCCTGCCTTCTCCGATCTCCCTAATTTTGGCCCTTAATCCTCCAGTTGTCTATTTTTGGGAGGTTTTCCCCTCTCTTCCCTCCCCCCCTTCATAGGAGTCCCCAAAAAATTTGCCACATGGCTTGGGGGTGGTGGCCATGTGACTGAGTGTGCATGAGTGATGTCAAATCGGCCATACCTGCCCAGTCACATGACTGCCAAGCCACACCCACAAAATAGGCCTCATCCACAAAATAGGTTCTAAAAATTTTTGAAACCCACCACTGGAGAAGTCCTTATTTTGTTCATAAGCAGCTGCTTATGAACAAAGATAGAGTGATTAAATTGACTAAGGCCACAGAAAAGTTAATATTAAAAGGGGATTGTGAGTCACAGAGCCTTGGCTCATTGTAATAAGGAGCATCTGTTAATTCCATGACAATAGCACCTTTTAAAAGTTGCTTTTAAAAGCCACATTTTTAAAATTACTGTTTGTAGTTATTGAGGGCTACATGGGTGAAGTAAAAATACAATGATAACATCCATAAGGCAATCAGAGGTTTTAGAAACCATTTTTTCACCTTTTTGTTCCCATTAACTTTTAAAGTAACTTTAAGTGTATTGAAAGATGCTGATCCCAGGAGCATAGATCTCAGGCCACTCCCTTTTAAGTGATAGTCAAAACAAAGGAAAAGGAAATCTGAGATAAGCGCTTTATGATAATGTGATATTCTAACAATGGAAAGACTGAAGCAGAAGTGTTTGACTAAGGGCAAGCTGGAAGGAGAAGGTTAACATTCTACAGGCCTTGATCTTATGCCATGTTCATAGGTGGTGGTAGTTTAAAAACAGAAGTATTTAGTCCAGCTTGCATTGGAAGAGAAAGGCTTAAAAAAAATTAAGTACTACTTTTTAACAATTAGCATTAGATGAAGGAAATGGGGAATCAAAAATATTTTTCTACCCTCACATCCATTCTGCTACTTTTATGATAACCTTTGAAATGAAATCTCAAAGGCTTCAATATCAGAACCCTCTTAAAAAGGACTTGGGCCAGAAAATGAAACCTTAATTTTCACAATATTATGATGTCTTTCAATTTAAAAATGAACATGTTTACATGTTTAATGAGAATGCCCTAAAATAAATAATTTTGAAATAAGTTGAGTATTAGCAGCATTGCATATAACATCTATAGAACAAATAAAACCTAAACCAAGGTGTATCCAATTTTATTTAGAACAGAATCTTTTGAAAATGAAATATGGCATATTTTAAAGTTCTATTAATAAAGATAATGATAGGCTTCTTAGGTCTATTGGATATTCTGGCAAAATACTTAATTTGTTAATTTGATGCCCAAGGTCCTCTGTTGCGTTTCTTTTTATGAGATTTATTTATTTATTTTTCATATTTCTAAACCTCCCTTTCCCTTAAAGAGTGGCTCTGGGCATTATGCATTATAATATAACTGATAAATAAAAACAACGTATAAAAATTAACTTTAGAAATGAAAAATTAAATTAGGTTAAAAATGTCAAAATTATAAAATAATGACAATTAAACAACAAAAGGCTAGGAATTCTAAGATTGTCATTTAACATTGGATTATTGCAGGCCAGAGGGGCTCTCAAGGGACTAGGCAGCCCCACGGCAAACTAAGGATTTATTTTTTTTAATGTAGAAATAATATTTATAAGGTATTACATAATAACTTAATTTTGTATGCTAGTTTCCCTCCCACATACATACACCTTCTGTAATTTTAGGGCATGCTGATCTATATAGAACTGTTTTAGTAATTCAAAAGAATAGAAGCCAACTATGACTTGATAAACAAGAATCACTTTCATCACAACACAAAATCCTGCTTCCCAATTTGGGGACAAGTTTGGTGTCTTAATGAGCATGAAGGATTTTTGAGAAATGTTATCTACATTTAGTTATTCATTATTTGCACCATTTGAAAAGACATAATATATCAGATGAACATATTTGCCAGTTTTTGCTCAAGAGTACTATGCTTGAGTATGTGCTTAAGCGTACTAATCATTTTTTTTCCTTCACAACAACACTGATATACTAATCACTGTCACTAGAGCTTGGGTTTTTCTGTTCTTACTCCAAACCTTAGCATAATATAGATCTAAACTATGAGATCTGTAAATGGCTATCCAAGTAGGTAATCTCAGTGTAACCCATAGTATATATGTAAACCTTCTCCAACTTGGTGCTCTTCAGCTGTGAGAGCAGTACAGTTTCCAGAATTCCTCTTCTGTGAATGCAGCTATAAGTAACTGGACATTACCATTATTGGAAGGCTTCAATACCTTCATCCAGTTTCTGATCCAAGCTTCAAAAGAATGCTGTTTGAATTGTAAAGATCATTTCTCTTGGTCAAAATCCAGAATTTTCTCTCTATATTACTTGACAGTTTTTGATATGGGGATTACTGGCTCTTATCCTGCCTAACTTTTTCTTGGAAACATCTGAGATGTGATTAGTAAAGGAAAGCAAAGATTGCTTTATCATTTTCTCCTCAGAGCCAGTAGCCACATCCGGCAGGGCTTTTAGCAGGAGCTATTTCATTGCTTCCTGGCTATCATTATCAATTCACATCTAAAAAATGTTCCTTAGATACAAAAGTCCCTGTAAATAGGTTAGGCAAGCCTTCAGGCTCATAATTTAATTTAAAGCACAAAATAAATATAAAAGGGAAAGCAGAACTCCTACAGTTGCTGCACAAGACTAGGAAATGGAAGAGGAGAGGAAAAACAAATATAATAAGAATGGGCAATTGTTTTAAATGGAAAGTGCAAGAATTTATTTTGACTCATATACATGACTTTCATCAGAGTGCTCATAAAGGATACATATAAGGAAATATCAAATTCATCATTACAAGGGCAATATTATTAATTATATGGATTCTTCTAATACTAGAAAAAGAATTGTTGGGGAAAAAAACCTGAATTTTGGCACTGGACTAAATTATTAGAATATCAGAGAAGATATTAGTATTTTACTTCCATTAAACCAAGTATTTCCTGATGCTAAGAGGCATACAAGGAATGTTCCTTATTCCAGAATATAATAAAAAGAGGGGCATATAAAGTTACTGTACCATTTTACTGAGAAAAATGTGGAGCAGTGACTGTGCATATGCTGTACATTCTCATTGGGATAGTCAGGAACAGCTTCTAAAACATTCTTGAGAGTTTGGTAAAAGATTAATCTGCTTTTTCAATTTAAAAAGAGTTGTCTTCTACCTGCTCTGCTGGGTTTCAAAACATCTTTTTGTAGGATTTACATAAATCAAAGTAGGTACTACTCTACTTGCATAAGGTCCATTTTCAGAAGAGAAATGACAACATACAAATTTGAAGCTTCACCCAATAGAAATAATATTATTATTGTCACGTTTCAGACCTATTTGTCATGAGTTTTCTTTCATTCAAGAGAGTGGTTATTGTTCATGAGATGATTAATTTCATGTACTACAATCAATGTGAACTTCTCAAGTATGTTTTCCCAATCTGAAACTGAATCAATCCCATACTATGAATGTCCCAGGGGTGGACCCTGCCAGTTCTAACCTCTTCTATAGAAGAGGTTCCACAAATCTACAGTGCCGTTTAGAACCGGTTCCAGCTCCCTCCCCCTGCCTGTCTGCAC